TGTTCCCTGAAAATTACTTCCGCCACTTGATAGTACTTAACCGGGTACAAGGTATCCCCCTGTATATTAATCTGCCGCGCTTTAGTAAATCCCGAAATCCTCGCTTGGGCTCCCCTATTATATAGTAAGGAAGAAAACCAGAACCTAAGAGTTTTCATAATTTATATATACCACGGATCTTTTAGATATCCAGTCCAATTTTCAATAGAAAATTTGTTGTTTCATTCAATATTTCATTTAGGCAGTAAAATACATAATAATCTTCTAGATAAACTAAAAATAAATCAAAAAACAAAATTCAAATTGAGTCAAAAAAGTTTCTGCTTTCTTTCTCTAACTGAAATTCTGATCTTCATACTACATTTTTTTTAATAACTATTATAATTCAATTATAAATCAATGAATATGGTTCTAATATGAAGACAAAGGCAATTTGTTGTTACATTCATTCAATAACAAACGAATCAAAAATTTCGAGCATAAATTTCAAAGAAATCAATAATATTCAAAATCATAACACCAGACACACAACATTTTTGTAAGTCATACATTTTAAATGTAATTTTGGACAGAAATCGATTCATCATGAAGGAATTTTAATTAATAACACAATTCCTGAAAAAATAAAGAAGTTACAACTGCCCCAAAATTGAAAAACATTCAATTAATTGAGTTCAAGTATGGATATTTTTTTAAAGCCAGAGTTTCACTTTGGACTGTCTGGTAATATTAATTGTTTCATTTGTGTTTTCTTGTTCAATATTTCTTAATTTTGTTAATTTTTTATCATCAGTTCGTAATTCCTATTCATAAATATACAAAATTTCTGGGAATGATAAATGCTGTCTCTCAATGCTTATTTCGCAGAATCATCATGTTCCATCTCCTGATGATGCTAACAAGAGACAACTTTTATGTTCTGGTAAGGGAGAAGGGCTTTCAATAGATTAATTTCACGCGAGAGGTTCCAAATTATATTTATCAACTTGAGAATGCATACCTAAAGTAAGTTGGAGCTGCTCCTGTGGCCCTCCCCACCTCCCAAACGAATTGTTCCTCAGGAGGGGGTGGCAACTCATAGGGAGAGTCATGAGTCACTCCCATAATATCGCTGGGACTGGTATATGATCTGAATAAATGCAGTTCAACGGGTTTTCGATCAGCCAGAACACCAGTGATCATAACACGGGGGTGTTTGATGTCAGACATGACAGTGTCTGTGCCGAACGTATCTTTCAAGATATTTTCCAGATTTTCACTGCTGTAGGGTCGACTACCATTAAAAGCATGTTCCTTCATGCAGAAGTAAAGGCAGAGACATTCCTTCATAGTTTTTCCCGAAGCGATGGCTACGACAAAAGCTGGTAAGAGTAATTGAATCGAAATACAAATGTTAAAACTAGTAACAGTACATGTAATGAATATAAATTGAAGTTTACGAGTGTTTAAACATACAGGACAGCTTGATCACTGCCATTGATAACTTTACCTATAGTGTGCGTTACACCAAAATTACATAAAAAGTTTGAGGTTAAGAAGTGAAGTTATCACTAAATGCTTCATTTATAAGTCTCAGAGATGAATGTATTAGACTTTTTTCAATGATTAAACAATATACAAGGTACTGAGTAGAAGCATGGTATATCAAAGTTAAGTTTTTTCTTGATATATTGCTTTTCATGTCGAGATTTCATTAGAAATGTACTTTCATTGAATATATACTTATAAAAGTATATACCAAGCAGTTTAGGGGTTTGATATAGGTTGCTATATGGGTTGATATACGTTGCATCCGGGTATTTCTGGATGATATAGAATGCTGTATGGGGTGATATAAGATGCTGTAGTAGTAGTAGTACTAGACTTTATTTTAGGAATCCTAATATATAGTTATGCATATATGAATAATTTATATACGTATATAATTTTACAGTACATCATGTATTATAATTTGATATATTCCAATAACAACTTTTTGAATACTTTTAAGGAATTTACATGTTTTATTTCATCAGGTAACTTATTGAAACTATCTAGACAATGAATTCATTCCACTCTTATAGTTTGTTCGGGATCTATAAAATGTATTACATGTTTTTGTGTTATATGAATGAATGTCACTATTTCGAACTAAATATCTGCTAAGATAGGCTGGTTGTATCCCACTCGTCATTTTGAAAATAAATCATGCTCAAATAATACAGTCTTTTATGTACACTGTAGAGTATTCAACATAGATTCAATAGGAGTATACTGGTTGCATCTCAAAATGATTCTCATACCTCGATTTTGTAGTTTCTGCAACTGTCCCATTTGATTTTGGTTGAATAAATACATCAGTGTGGCACAGTAGTCAAAGTGTGGCCTTATTATGCAGTTGTAACATGTTAGTCTAGCAAAGGTTGATAAAGATTTTGAAATTCTAGAGAAAAAATACATTTTCTTACAACAGTAGCTGCTGTCTTTTCTACGTGGGACGTGTTCTACGAGATGTCATATCTTTTCAATATCTCAATTCCTGAATGTCATTACACAAACGTGATCATTAGAGTACCTCAAAGGGAAATATTTTCGATAGATTCATATAGAAAGTGGTAAAGGAATCCGCACTTTCATGAAATTATTGAAATGGACTTTCTGATCAAAAGTGTTCTTTGACCTTACTC